TGAGAAGTACCTATTTTTTTTCCATTTCCAGTTTCATGAAGCACCAGATGGTGCATCAAAGTCAGCTCTGCTTTGTGATGGAGGCTACATCCACACACTCCTGTGCTGCCTTCTCCGGGAAGCCCACTGCTATCGTCTGCTTTTGAACATGCTGCTTCCCCCACCTTAATGTTGCCCAGGGAGCTACAAGTCCGCTTCCCTGACTTTTTCCAATGGAGAATGTGACACTGAAATGAAACCAGGAAATTACTACCCACAGTTCTACCCTCTCCCTGTATCCCCATCCCTTTCTCCTTACTTTCCCCTGGGAGATTTCCACCCAACAGATCATGAAAAGTAAGAACAAAGATTAACAGTGTTTACTGCGGGCTGGGGTGCTGTTTCCAGTCACATGCGTTAACTCAGTGACTTAGAGCTCACCTGCGCCAGCTGGATGATGTTACCATGGGCTGGGCGATGCTCCCAGACAGTCACATGCATTAACTCAGTGACTTAAAGCTCACCTAAGCCAGGGGGATGACGTTACTCTCTCTTACTATCTGCGGAGAAAACTGAGGTGTGAATACGGAGTCACTGGCCTGAGCCTCACTGCTAACTTGTAGCTAAGCCAGAGTTTGGACCAAGTAATCTGCAGAGTTGACGTCCAAGACCACCAAGCAGAGTGCCTCCCAAGAAAGAAGTGACAGGAGAGTCTCCAGTGTCTCCTCCTCCCACGGGCACTTACTCCATTTTCCAGGCTTGAACCAAAGGCAACCTTTAATTAAGATGGCTTACAAATGACTCTATTCAATTTCATTCTCCATTGTCCTTTATTTAGCTTCTAATAACCATACCTGTTTTTTCTTGAAAAAGCAGAAGGGATGGATCCCCTTGTTCTCAGGTAGACTGAGCTTTCCAGGGCTCTGCTCTTCATCTGGGATCAAACAGTCTAAGGCAAGATGATTCATTCTTTAAATTGTTCCACAGAAGAGCTAAGACCCACTTACCTATTTTTGACAATGGGAGCTGATGTTCCTGTTTCATGTCCGCCAATTTGGAAACAACCAGCAGGAAGGAGGCAAAGCCCTTGGTGACGTTCATGTTATACTCATCCAGGGCAGCCTTAAAGTCCTCGGGGAGATCCTCCAGGAACACCTGCATTGGCAAGGAGATCATCAAGACAAAACAAAACTGAAGGCCCAGTATTTTTTTCAGAGAGCTCTACAAACCTTCCTTGAAAACTGGAAGTTTGGAAGAAGGGCAAACAACAGCGCAATATAATCCTATAGTTATCCATCTATTCAGTAACGTAACTATTTCATTCTTTCATCTGTGAAACTAACTTGAAACTCATTCTTCTGTTTCTGTGTATGTTATAAAAACCAATACCTCTACTTGTAAATATTTACTTTTGTGCTACTTAGTGAAAACAATCTTTTAAATAGAAGGATGCCCTCAAATGACAGTGGGCTTGTGAATATTTCAAAGAATCTAGTGGCATGTCTGGGGAGCAGCAACCACAGAAAGCCCCTCTGAGCCTGGAATGCACCTCACCTGATTGTGAGGGTTTTAAACTCACACTGGATTTGTCTTGCTAATATTTTCTGATTATTCTTCCATCTACAGTCATGGAAGAGGCACATCTCTAATTTTTCATGATGTCCTTGTCATGTTCTGATGTTAATTTTAGGCTTTGCTTTCTCTTTTGGTATTCCCTAGAAGAGTCTGTGAAAACCTGGTGTTATTACCATACACTGTACATAAAAATAAACTCAAAATGGATTCAAGACTTAAATGTAAGACCTGAAACTGTAAAATTCCTAAGAGAAAATATAGCCACATTGATTTTGGCCTTAATTCTGTTAACGTGACACCAAAAGCACAGACAACGCAAGTGAAAACACAAGGGGGACGACATCAAACTGAAACCTTCTGCACAGCACAGGGAATAATCAACAAGGTGAAAAGGCACTGCTAGAATGGGAGAAAATACTTCTAAACCATCCACCTGCTAAGGAGATAAGACACAGAAGAATCCAGTACAGCCCAACAGCCAAAAAAGGGGGCAAAGGACTTGAACAGACATTTCCTCAAAGAAGGCACCCCAGTCCCCGTCACATATGTTAGAAGGTGCTCCACACTAATCATCCCTCACCCTCAGGGAGACGCAGCTCAGAACCAGAGTGAGGCGCCACCTCACACCTGCCAGAAGGGCCGTCACCAAAAGACCAGAGGTTACAAGGGCGGAAGAAAACTCGGGTAACAGAGGATTTGTCTTTCTCTGCCTTCTTTTTGTTCTTCTTAGCCACCTTTTACGAAGATCACCTGGCACAACCAGCCCTCCCCACTCTCTCAGATTCCGTTGAAACACGTAAGTCATCGTGTTTGATGCTGATTCAGTGACAGGGAAATCGTGATCGCAGAAAGTGTCGCAAATACAATTGGATGAGTTGCTCTGTGTGTGTCAAGTGGTAACTTCTTAGGTGCCTATTCTAGTATTTTTTTCAGTGAGGACATCACGGTTCACAACATACACTTCCTGTCTGAAGCCCTACCTCAAGGTAAAAAGATCCTAAAAGAACCACATAGTCAATGAGAACTATTAGTTCATTTCATGTATAATTACCTACATTTTTTCTTCAGCCACTGACTGCTATACTTCTATACAATCAAATGGAAAACAAGATCAAATTTTTTATCCCATTCTCCTCAAAGTGTTTAATCTTTGGATAGATTTATAGAGACATGAATTACAGATTAAATTGATTACACTGATTACAGAACAAACTGTTACCCTACAAAACAAATGAATCCTATATTAATAAAATTCTGCTGCTGAATCATTTATGGTAGGATCCATTTAATTATCTTAATTATTTAACATTAACAGGATTATAAATTTTACCTTTGATTGATAAAACTTGAGATTTGCATCTTGGAACTTTGCTGGAATATATCTTCTTCCAAACAGATGTGCCAAGACTAACACTAGCCTTTCCATAACATCTTGAGAAAAACATATTGAGCCTATACAGAACAAAGTGACTTGTTATATAAACATAAAAAGTGGATTAATCCCATTTTTAATGCTTAAATTGAATTATATAGTTATATTGCACTTTATTTCATGGAAACTAGAAATGTGTAACAAATACAGCAACTAAAGAATCTCTAAGGACAGTCTTACTCCTTCTTTGTCCTTCCAGCTGCTCCTTCACCTCTGCATCAGACCCTGTCCTCCAACCACAAGCTGCCGTGTCTCCTTATCTGAACTCCTTCTTCAGTCTGTCATCAGTTTCCCTAAAGCATGTAATGACCACGTCTCCCCTCCTCAAAAGTCTCTGATTGCATCTCAGTGCCTCATAAACAAAATCCAGTCTCCTGAGTCCAGCACTTAAGGCTTTCCAAAAGTCACCCACCAATGACCTCCTGGCCCCTCCCTGCCTCACCTGCCAGCCACTCATGTCAATACCATCAGCCTGAGTCATTCCCTACCCTTCACAGCATGTGAGCATCACACGCAGTGTTAAGAAATGCTACCATTAAAAGCTTGGGCTCTGGAGTCGGTCTGCTCATCTTCGAATCTTGGCTCAAGATTTGGGGACCAAGGCAACTGATTTAACCTCTCTGTGTTTCAGTTTCATTATTTATGAAATTCCATGTTACCTGCCTCACAGAGCAACCCAATGTTCAACCTCCACGTCTGTAACTGCACACGCCCTGCCTCTACCACACACAGCAATAAACACAACCACACTTCTTACTGCCTGAAATTATTTCTCCTCCTACAGAGCCTGTGGGAGACAGAATTTCCTGAGCATCCTTGATTCACAGAACACTGCACATTCAGAGCCTAGTGACACTGTGCAAGGTACATCGTTCCTGCCAGTTAACAACAGAAGATAAAGTCAAGTCATGCTGTGGAAGGCACTGAAATCACCAGCGTCAGAAACTATAACAGATTTAAGGACAAACAGGGAAACATTTCTCTAGGAGACATTGTTTAAAGATCTATGGTTTAGTTATAAAAATCAAAGGCTTTCATAAAAACTATGTTAAATGAAATTTTAGGTAGAAATTGCAAGTGGAATTCAAAAATTTGCACGTGATATTGCCAAAAAAACATTTAGGGGGAAAACAAGATGCTAGATTGTGCAACTGATACGATATCAGCTGTCTAAATACACTGTACAATTATTCAAAGAAAATATTCACAAATATCAACAGTGAGTATTATTTTTAACATAAGGGTTTTCCCTGTCCTTTTTCTATCATGAGCATATATTAGATTTAGTCAGAAAAGATATTTATCAAAAAAATCATGTATTAAAACGTTCTGAATCCTGGAGTCAAGGAATCTCCAAAATTAGTAACTCGACATTTTTCGATAGCTGCCACAAAATGTAGCTATCTCCTATATAACCTATATTAGTAGGCATATACCACTTTATTTAATCTAATTTGGCATCTAAATTATCTGTTTACTTATATTTTCCTTGTAGAAATATTCCCAACGTGCTAGCTTCTCTACAGCGCCCGGTGCTGCTTTCAGACCACACATGAAACACCAAGCTTACCTCTCCTGGTTGGCTGACAGAGATTATGGAAAAGGCCCTTTACCAGAAAACTGACGAAAACAAGATTGGAAGGCTCGTGATAGTGCAAGTGTGAAACAAGTCCAGCAAACCCCATGGGGTTTCCTTCTCGGTCTCCATAGCCCTAAAGAACAAGAATCATTTATCAGTTTGACTGCATTCACCACATACATGAATTAATAGATAACTTATTAAATGCCACTTTAAAATAGTACTTAATACCCATATGAGAGATTAATAATTATTACCTGGCCCAACCTTGAAAAGTGTATCAGTCATAAGGAATGTGAGTCACTGAGCCCAGCCTGTTGAGGATCAGAGCCAGCTACCAGTCCTGTTTCAGGAACAGACAAGCACAGTCGTACCTCTTTCACCAGGAACTGCAGTGAAAACAGGAAGTAGAGTTTCAGCATCTCCAGGGCTCGCGGCTGTTTGAAGGCGAGCAGTGAATGCTTCAGCACCGACAGCACCTGTGGAGGTGAGTGCGTTCATTCACACACGTTCATGTGCAGCACGATCACGAAAGGCAGGTGCACCAATTACACTGACATTTACAATAATGCATCACTATGAAATGAGAGAGAGATGCACAGAGTGGTGAAGAATCTCAGGGAATCAAAAAGTCCAGCAGCAGAACTGACATTCACATGGCATCACTAAGGAGCAGAACTCAAACTCTGAGAGTGTGTCAGAGATGTGGGAGGCAAATTCATGTGTTCTCTCATAATGAAGAAAAACAGCAGTGGAGAACAGGACGAGGATTTTCTACTTACAATAACTTCTCTGAGAAAGAAACAACAAATTAAAACAGAGGGAAGTATCAAAGATCTAACTT